CATGACCTGAGCCCAGATCAAGAGGCGGACGCTTAATCCACTTAGCCACCCAGACACCCCTAAAATTTATTTTTTTGAAAAGAGAGCACTTGTGCATTATCAATGATGAGAAATCTAAAGTCCACAGAACAGAAGGAAAAATTAACACCGGGGACTACATCAAACTGAAAAGCTCAGTACAGTAAAAAAAACAATCAGCAGCATCAAAAGTCATCCTACAGAGTGGGAGAAAATATTTGCAAACCACATATATGATAAGGGGTTAATATCCAAACTATAAAAGGAACTCCTATAACAAAAGTTTTTTAAAAAACCACTAATAACAATAAAAAATTTTTAAAAATTAAAAAAACAAATAAAAATAAAAAACCACTACTAAGCCAATTAAAAGCGGTCTGAGGACTGGAATAGACATTTCTATAAATAGACATTCAAATGGCCAACAAGCATGTGAGAAAATACTCAATGTCACTGATCATCAGGAAAATGCAAATCAAAGCCCCAATGAAATATCACCTCGCACTGTCATGCAATTATGTGAAAATGGACATCCTATTATGTATTCCACTATTTAAAATGTTGGTCCTAGCCACAACTTAACAGTGACAGAAAAAAGAACATACTTTAAACATGTGTAATCTTCTAGTGTCTTCTTAATAATGATTATCTCAATGTATTTACCACTACTTTTACAATAAATTCTCTGATATCATCCATACTTTATACATTAGAAAAATTGATGGCTATTATCAAAAACACAAAATGCAGGCATTGTCAAGAATGTGAAGAGATCGGAACACTTGGACATTCTTGGTGGGAATGCACAATGGTATAACCATGGAAAACAGTATAGAGGTTCTTCAAAAAGTTGAAAGCAGAACTACCATATGATCTAAAAATCCCACTTCTGAGTATTTATCAAAAAGAATTGAGGGGCCCCTGGATGGCTCAGTCAGTTAAACATCTGACTCTTGATACGGAATCAGGTCATATTCTCAGTGTCCTGAGGTGGAGCCTATGGTAGGCTCTGTGCTGAGCGTGGAGCCTGCTTAAGATTCTCTCTCTCCCTTTGGCCCTCTCCACCCCCAACTCACTCTCTCTTTCTCTCCCTCTCAAAAAAAAAAAAAGAGGGATGCCTGGGTGGCTCAGTCAGTTCAGTGTCTGCCTTTGGCTCAGGGGGTTATGATCTCAGGGTCCTGGGATCAAGCCCTACATCAGGCTCCTTGCTCAACGGGGAGTCTGCTTCTCCCTCTCCCTCTGCTGCCCCCTGTTTGTGCTTGTTCTTTCCCTGTGTATGTGTCAAATGGATGAATAAAATCTTTTTTAAAAATTTGAAATCAGGATCTTGAAGAGATATTAAGCACTCGTATGTTCATTGCAGTACTGTTCACAATAGCCAATTAGGGAAACAACTTGAATGTCCAACAACAGATGAATGGATAAAGAAAATGTGGTATATACATAAAATGTAGTACTATTCAGCCTTAAAAAGAAAAAAAAAAAAAAAAAAGGAAATCCTGCAATATGCAAGCATGTGGATGAATCTTGAAGACATTATGCTAACTGAAATAAGCCAGTCACATTAAGACAAATAATGCATGATTCCTCTTAAATGTGGTATCTAAAATAGTCAAACACATAGAATCAAAGAGTGAATCAAAGAAGAGGTAGCCATGGGCTCTGGGGATGGGGACGTGGGGAGTTACTGATCCATGAGCAAGATGAAAGAATAGAGAGTTGCTGTAAAACATTGTATCCATAGCCGACAATCATGTATTGTACACTTAAAAATTTAAGAGGTTCTGGGGCGTCTGGGTGGCTCAGTCGTTAAGCGTCTGCCTTCGGCTCAGGTCATGATCCCAGGGTCCTGGGATCGAGCCCCACATCGGGCCCCCTGCTCCGCGGGAAGCCTGCTTCTCCCTCTCCCACTCCCCCTGCTTGTGTTCCCTCTCTTGCTGTGTCTCTCTCTGTCAGATAAATAAATAAATAAAATCTTTAAAAAAAAAATTTAAGAGGCTCTATCTCATGGTAAGTGTTCTTTACATGTTACACATTAAATTTAAAAAAAATAAGACACTGCAGGTCTCACCTGTTACAATGGCAAAAATCTAAAACACTAACACTACCAAATGCTGCTGTTAAAAACTCAGAAATAGCCCAGGTCAATCTAATGAATTTCACCAAAATAGTAATTAGTAAAAGTGTCATGTTGCACACATCAAAAAGGGAGCTCATGAACTGGGAGCACTGAAACCAAAATACGGAATGAGGCTAAGCGGTATATTGTTAGAAAGCAGTTTGTATAGTGAGGAGACCAGGAGTGTATCTTCTTCACAGTGGTTGGTTACAATATCAGAGTTGCTGTAAACGATATCAGAAATTGGTCAGTGGGTACCTCGCATCAAACTGTTTCTTAACAGTTCAAGTTTCGCTAATGATTTCCAGAGGCACAGCAAAAAAATGATGCAGGTCAAGGAGTCTTGCAAAATAAGCTAAATTAAGCGTTATTTGTCTGACTAAACTAGTTTTGTCTGCCCAGGGAATTTTCCTTTTTAAAAAATATTTATTTATTTATTTATTTATTTTAGAGAGGGGAGGGACTGGCAGAGGAAGAGGGAGAGAGTGTCTTAAGCAGATGGCAATGAGCACTGAACACAGAGCATGCTGCAGGGCTCCGTCTCACGACCTGAGCCGAAACCAAGAATTAGAAGCTTAACCATCCGTGCCACCCAGGCACCCTGCCCAGGGAATTTTCAAGGCTGGTCTCTTTGTTTTTTATTTTACATCAGTAAGGATGTTCAGCAACAAGAAACCTCATTCGTGGCTGACGGGAATGCACAATGGTACGGCCACATTGGAACACAGGAGTATCTGCTTCCTACACAACTAAACATATTCCTACTGTGTGATCTAGCAATGACAATCCTTGGTGTTTACCCAAATCGCTGGAAAACTTCTGCCTACACAAAAACTTGCACAAAATAGTTTATAGCAACTTTATTCATGATTGCAGAAACAAGAAAGCAACCAAGATGTCCTCAGTAGAAGAAAGGGTAAGTAAACTATGGTAGAGCCAGACAAGGGAATCTTATTCAGCACTAAAAAGAAATGAGCTACCATGCCATGAAGTTCTTAAAAGCCAAACTGGTGAGAAAAAAATCAAACAGCTTAGTAATGCACAAGATTTGGGGGAAATTATTTGTAATATTTTTACTTATTTATTTGACAGAGAGAGAGAGAGCACAAGCAGGGGGAGTGGGAGAGGGAGAAGCAGGCTCCCCACTGAGCAGGGAGCCCAAAGCGGGGCTCGATCTCAGGACCCTGGGATCATGACCTGAGCCGAAGGCAGACGCTTAACGACTGAGCCACCCGGGCACCCCTCTGCTGGGTTTAGAAGTGATCATTGCTTCTTATAAAGGGCCATGGAGTGCATGGTTGCTCTGTGACTTAGAAATTTTCTCACTCAGTCCACTTATTTTAGTTCCCTCCACCCCAATACCCTCAACACACACGCACACATGCACACACCCACTCATGCACCAACGTGGGCAACCCCACCTTCCTCAATTATCCAAAAGTATGTGGTGCTGTTTTCCCTGACCCTTTCCGGAGGGCACCGCACACACTGAGGTGCTTCCGCAGTAGGCCTGGGTTTCTTTTAAGCTAGTGTTTCATGCAAGTTTGCCCCTATCCATATACAGCTCATTTTCTAAAATTGGTTGGTGTCACTGACGGCTGAGATCTTCTTTTCTCTTTCTCTTTCTGTTTGCAGCTTTCTACCCTTTGGGATGTCATTACTATCTTTTTAATAGAGTTTTAGAGAATTCAAGGGATAAACGCAAATTATTAAAGTGGGTTAATAATTGGATTTTTTTAGAGATTATATTTTTAAGTAATCTCTACACCCAGCATGGGGCTCAAATTTACAACCAGGAGATCTGGAGTCATAGCTCTACTAACAGAGGCAGTCAGGCCCCCCTAGTCTACCATGTTTATCCAAATGTCTGAGGAAAACTCTTATTATATACCCTTTTGAATTGTTTAAAGTATAGTTTCACATGCATTTATATTGATACAGGTTCGAAAATAAAATTTACATTTTAAACCAATTAAATAAAAAATTACTTTAAAACAAGAATACATAACAAATAAAATATGGAATGTATTAATATTCTGATCATAGCTCATTCATAAACTCTGCAGATAAGGAGATAATAATTAAAGAAGATTGCAATAATATTGACAAAGTCTTGCACTGCAACACAGACATCGCTTTTTCTATTATTTTTTGCACAACTTCACTGACTCCCATACATTCTCCAGTCCCATGATTTGTGGCTCTCAGTGAGAGGCTGCAAAACAGAAGTTAGAGAAATGCATAGGATTTCCCTCCCAGTGTCCCCTATCGATCTATATTGTTAGGAAACATCAGTGCAAGAGCATTTTCTCTCACCGTATTTCCTGGGCACGGAGAACGATCTCACTTGAGTTCCTACTGTCAGAAAGCCAACTGATCTATTTAACTGGCCCGGACATGAGCCCCTTCCTCCATTCTGTTTCTGCCCACACCCCGTCATGTTGAATATCAGCCTGAGTCGCCACCTGATTCACTAGAAAAGAAAGCAGGGCAGAGGTCGCTGGCCTCTCTTTTCCTTGCTCACGTTCATGTATTCCTCCTCCTTTCTTCCCTTCCCTTCTTTCTCTACTAAACCCTGGTTTGGGGCTGAAGCTCTCCTATCAGACTCTGTCAGGAAGACACGGGGCATCACCACCTTCTCAGGCACACTGTGTGTCTCTAAAAGTGTCGTAAGACACAGCAATACCCACCAGGGTGCCCTGAACAACATGTGGGGCTGGACGTTCACTGCAAGGATGAGCAAGAGACAACTTCACTGTTACGTGGTTTTATCTTGAAATTACTTATGCCCTGGCTGAGGAACTCTTGGCATCAAACTGTTCTCAATGTCACTAAGAAACAGCTGGGGTTGGGGGATGTTACTTCTGGTTCCTATGCTCTGATCATTTGTATGATTTTGTATCAAGCAGACACTGAGGGACAACCATAGACTGTGCTGGAACCAGAGTGGATCAGGCAGAGACGCTCAGCATCCAGGCCCCTGCTCTGCTCAGAGTTTGTGCTCAGCTGCCCCTGCAGTCCCCATCACTGTGTCACTCACGGCACAGTAGTAAACAGCTGAATCTGACGCTTGCACTGAGCCTTTCTGCAAGTGGAAGGATTTGGAATCTCTGTCATAGGTGGCTTCAAATCCTTTCTTGCTTCCCTTCTCCTTGTCCCTCGAGGCTTTCAGGAGGAGCTCTGGACCTTCTCCTGGATACTGGACATACCAGAAAAGAGTGGGGTAACTTGTCGCTACTGTGTAAGTACAGTTCACAGTCAGGAAAGCCTCTTCTGAGAGGGTCACTGGGCCTTCCAGCTGTGTCACTGAGTCTCCATGGGTTTGTCCTGAGGAAAAAGAAAAGAGACCTTGTCACCCTGGGCATAAAGCTCTTGGATAAATTATAGTTAAAGGTTTTGCTGACACAATGCAAGAAAGAATCCAAATTTTAAGAAGGATTTTGCTTACCAAGCATTAAGAGAACCACAGTCACAAAGCCTGGAGAACACTTCATCTCTGGAGTGTCACCTAAATAATGTTCTTCAATCTTACCATGAAGAAAGGTTGGAGTGACAGAGAAATGATCAGTGCAAGCCCACATTTCACACAGGAAATGTGATTGTGGTAGGAAGCTGCACCCCCTGGTGGACAGGGACTGAAATGCGTGCATGTTGGCCAGAGGCCTCCCGAAGTCAGCCATCTGTGTCATCCCTGACTTCATGAGGCACATGTCAGTCTGCAGGTGGCCCTTGGAACTCTGAACAACAGCAATCCTGACCTCTCAGGTCTATTTTGTTCTTAAGACACTACCTGATATGTGATGTAATGTATGGGGATTAACATAAGAATAAAAAAAAAAAAAGACACTACCTGATATGGAAGTTCTTTAACACAGCATCCCAGAGCATTTCTGTAGCTGAGAAGATACCCATTTTCTTGAGCATTTTAAGACAGTTTTTATTTTATTTTATTTTATTATGTTATGTTAATCACCACACAGTACATCATTTGTTTTGATGTGACCATTTTTTATATTTTCATATATCTACTCAGAGCCAGCCAATAATCCAACAGAATGTCAGAAAAGGGTTTTAAGTTGAAATCAGAGGAAGTAATAAGAAGTCATGTCATTATTCTTCACTTTTCAGCCCTGCATCCCACATGTGGAACAGGGACTGTCATTCATTGCACACTCTCTACATATTTTCTAAATTAAACAAAAATAATGAAGAAACAGCCTTTGACTGAGGAATCACTACTACTAGAATACAGTATTTCCTCAGTCCGAAATTATACCAATTGTAAGGAAAGCAATATTTTTAATAAAATCTTTTTAGGAGGAAAAATGTCACATTATCTTGTCAATATTCAAATACCCATGCATTTCAAAATCATTTAAAAAGTGAAAAATATGAATCCTAACCAGAAAAAATCATAATCACAATTATCTAATCCTTATAGAAATTATCTGAGATCAATACCTTATTCCACCATTTCAATGACTCCAAGATAACATAACTAGTATATATGAATCAGGCAACAAGTACTAATCATATACTTAGTGGTTATCTAGCCTCAAGGATGCTTTTCACTGTTGTCGTGTGTATCATGATGTTGCCATACTTTAATCAAATCATTTTCCTCCACAGGGTAGGGAACCCTGAAGATGTGGATTTGCATCAAATGCCTGGAGCATGATTTAGGATTCTCTTCTTCCCAGCTTTTGAAATTGTTAAAGACGTAACAGCTTATAGTCACACAATAGCTGATAGTAAAACCAATGTACCAGTGATTTAAAATTACAGATTCTATGATCCCACCACTAACTCCAGGACTCATATTTTGCAGGATTGAGACCCACAAGTTTGTGATTTTTGAAGCTCCCCACCATGGTTTTGTGAGATTTCATTTGTGATAACTGCCCTCCAGCCAAGATGGTCATCAAAGATCAGGGGAAAGGGTCTGGAGTCAGCATGGGAAAATGTCCCTGTGACTATACAAATTATAAAAAACTAGTCCTTTTCTACAATGCACCAAAGACAAAAACAAGCACTTCCTTAGCTCCCATTTTATGACCATTTGTTTTATAAAACAAAACAAAATAAAACAAAAAACTTCTGAGGATCATCAGGATAAAGTTCTGGAGAGGGACACATCTTCCGTAAAGCCCTGTAAACATTTATCTCTAGACACATAGATGGAAGCTTAGCTCAGGCTGTTTCTTGGAGGTGACTCTCCACAGATTCAGATCAACGAACTTCATGAGTCCACAGCCAACATGGGAACAGTTTCCCAGATGCAGAGTGAAGTAAGAAACTCAGGCCTGGAAATTTTTGGGTTCACGTATCCCTTCCCTTCTCCTCCACCTTCCAAATCACCTTGTCAGAACCTGCCTCAAAACTATGCTAGAAAGGGGTTTGGGACAAGCAGCTACAAACTTCTGTTCTGATATATAGGGAGAAAGCCAAACAGGTTGGGGTGATGCTGGATTGAAAATAAACAGTATAGTACATGGATGCGGAAAGTCATTATCTACACTAAAAAAAAAAAAATAGTTTTAAGCCAATGAGAACCTAGAGGAAATGCAAACAGGGGTTTCAAAATAAGTGATGTGGCACAAAGAATTCTATTTTACATGCTACTATCCCTTCTTCCCACAACACCCACAGGACACTGACCCTCTCCATTGTTTTAGATCATAGAGCAGGCACATTCCCCCAGGGGCTCTCCCCACCTAGCCATATGGAAGTCATGACCACCTTCAGAAGCCTGGAGAGCAACATGTTTGAGTTCTCCCTCTAGATGGAAAATATCTTCTTCTTCTCCTTCTCCTTCTCCTTCTCCTTCTCCTTCTCCTTCTTCTTCTTCTTCCCCTTCTTCTTCTTCTTCTTCAATATCAGGGATTGGCATTGTGAGGGGAGCCTGACAGGGCGAGGGAAGGATTGTTGGCCATATGCTGCTGTGGCCCCAGAACAGGGAACAGAGGTTTCCTGGTGTAGCAAGTGGTGTGGGTCATGTCATAGTTCTCTATGTCCCAGTGAGAGTCTCCCTGCCCAAAAATCCTTTTGCGTTATAAAACCCTTAACTTGGAAACAATTACATCTGAAAATGAATGTGTAAATTTTTATATTGAAATGAAGATTGATGGTTTAACTATGGTGTGTTCAACCATCACATCTGTGATGAAAGTAGTTGGGTGGCACCTACATAAAAATACTCCATGTAAGGGATTATGAAAACAACCTAAGACTGAGAACCATGTATCCTCACACTATATATGCTGCTCTTTCACCTAAGGTAGAAATAAATCATGTTGTGATAAGAAGACGAAGTGTTTAGACTAATCACTGTAGCTCTTTCAATGTACCTATTGTTATGCCAGTGTTCCTCCTCACTGTCAATGTCTGTTCAGATGCCTATCTTGGGGCCAAAAGCAGAAAATCTAATCACTCTTTGCTGAAGAGTTCAGGCTACAACCCTCAGATCCTGTTACTGAGGTCTCTTTCTCACTGTTTCATTTCCACAGCTCAACTCTGTTCAGAAAGGCCAGAATTGACACCAGAGTTTGGTCATTAGGTTATCAAACCTTTGACTTTATATTTTTACCCTCATCTCAGCTGAACCACAGTAAGCTTCCATGCTTTGTATGCTCAGTTCTGAAGAGAATATACCCTAGGTGACCCCCTACTCCTCCACAGGACTCTTGATGATACAATAATTGATTGTAATAAAACTTTCTCTGTGTACGTACATTAAAAGTAAGGCTGTGCCCTATGGATATTCCTCCACATCATGGCAAACAGCAAAGATCCATTGCCTATCAATGTCTGTCTCTTGATACAGTAGCCAAGGCTTAACATCCTTGCCTCAAAATCATTGTAGCCTCAGCTAAATTGTTGAAGCATCTTAAGAATTTCTACTGCATATGTCTGCATGAAATGTGATGGAACCACATACAGTACAAATTGCCCTCTCTAAGGGATAGACTTTAACTCTCTAAAAACACCCAGCTAGCTGAGTAAATGGGAAATATTATTAATTTCTCCTCCTATTATTCAACTTTAATACATTTCTCAATAAAGGGAATCTCATGATTGTGCTTCTGTTATTCAAGAAGTGTCCCTGTCCAGGACAGATCTTTTGGACACTCCCACATTAAATTCTGAATTAATAGATTTTTTCATAATCTTATGTTAAACATTGAAGAAGACAATACCAGACTGGTCATGCAATTAGTACTCTAGACCCCTTTATAAAACCCAATCCCTTAGCAGAAACAACATTAATTCAAGTAGCTGAACTAGTGGATATCTCTCGGGCACATCATTTAAAAAAAAATTATGTAGTCAGTGTCAGTCAATATGTTTTTAATGTAAGTCACAGCTTCCAAATACTATAAAGACAATGAGGTTTCTTAACTTTCTAACTTTTCTTAATCCTCTCATGCATCCTATTAGAAAGGGACAGAAAATACATGAATTATTTAATGTTTTCATGCTATTCAAAAAATTTTTTGTCATAAAGACAAAGTCTCCCAATACCAAAGACCCTCTAGAAACAGGAAAAAATGAGGAGGTCATCGTACGAACATAGCTTTTTGATCAAGGTTCTTATGCAAGCACCTCTTACAGAACATAAAGACAAGTCCATGGAAAAGTTTAATAATCACATCTTAGATGTAGAAAATTTGGCCCCAATTTTGTGAAGAATCACTAAAAATGATTGATTTTTTGATCCATGAGAACAAGATATATCAAAGTCAGGATAGCTTCCTGGTAGAGGCAAATGATCTCCAATGAACACTTACTAAACTCTGCCAGAGACAATGCATCACAGTAGGGACATATCGGATGCAACATTAAACGAACACTGGTGGGGAAGCTTTTCTAGGATAGCAGACAATACGGTTCTTCATGCCTGTCTTGGAACCAACAAAATCCCATAAAATCTGGAAAGGTGAAATATGGTCTGGAATTCTGTCCCAAAGAAGTATTTGAGTATCTCTTACAAATCTTACAAAATTTCATTCCCTTTGTGAGCTATGTGTATGTACTAATAGTAGTATTTTACTTACTGCATGGATTGAAGCGCTCTCCTATCAGAAAACCACACCAATCACAAAAGTTAAAAATCAATTGGATTTTGGGGTATCTGGATGGCTCATTTGATTAAGCGTCTGCCTTTGGCTCAGGTCATGATCTCAGGATCCTGGGATTGAGCCCCGCATTGGGCTCTCTGCTCAGTGGGGAGCCTGCTTCTCCCTCTCCCTCTGCTGCTCCCCCTGCTTGTGCTCTCTCTCGCTCTCTCTCTCTCTCCTGCTCTCTGTCAAATAAATAAATAAAATCTTTAAAAAAGTAATCAACAGGATTGTGTTTACTACCTGAGCCATTTCAATTAATCTCCATATAGTGGAACAAATTTATCTGGGACAGTTAGGTAAAGTTAGCCCTCACATAGAAACTTCACTCCTCCTATCACCCCCATCCCCAATCCTCTCTTACAGTGGAAACAACAGATGGAATATGAAAACTGAAATGAGTTACTGTGGCA